CCCCAAAGAGCTGATGCAGCGACGTGCCCTTCTCGTTGGCCCAGGGGATCTTGCCGTAGCTGACTAGGTCCTCGAGAGAGTCGACGGGCACGGTCACCCTGGGCACGGCAAGCAGGGAGGTGAGCACGCCCCTGTACGCCGAGCTGAGGATGAGGCCGGCCAGGAGCCAAGCGGCGAGGAGGGCGCGGCTGCTGGGGCGTCCTGGGGGCTTCTCGATGGCTGCCGCAGGAGGAGGCTCGCGTTATGGGTGTTTGTTGGTGGGTGTCCATTTGTATGTGTATGTTTGAGTAGATGTGTATCTGTGATGTATGTATATCTATTCCTGTTTATCTTTCTCTCTTTCTATCTGTCTGTCAATCTACTTATCAGTCTGTCTATATCTATATCACTATTTTCATTTCTATCTGTTTCTACGTCCGTCTACCCATCTATCTATCATCCATCCATCCATCTATCTACCCTCCCATCCATCCATTCATCTATCTATCTATTTGTCATTATTATTTACAACTGTTATTTTCATGACACTGTAATTAAAACCAACCAACCAACCAATAGACTCTGAAGGGGCTACCAAAGGTAGTTGTTTGCCCCACAGTACTGAAAGGATCACGGCCCCAAACTCACGTTCAATGAGCAAAGCCTGCACGACCCAGAGGGGGCGTAAAACAACATCGCCTTGATCGTCCACAGCAGCGTCATCCTTTGGCTTGAAGCACCGCCTGGCCAACCAGTTCATAACAACACCTAGGGCGAGTGTAAAAAGGAAGACAGCCCCAAGAGTGGCCCATACCTGAGGGGAAATATGAAATGAGACGATTCTATTCCATGGAGACAACCTTCAGGCTCTTTCTGCCAGATAATTGCGTACAGCTCTCCGGAAGAAATGGATCATTTGTAGGCCTCATAACTATGACTTTTGTTTAATCAGTTATAAATATGCTAACCATGTTCCAATGTTCTTTTTTATACATTTGTAAACATATCATCAAATATTAAGCATAAGTGTGCATGTTCCTGAGCCAAAACACTTCTTCAGCCTTACCTGCCAAGCGAGAGGGTTAGTGAAGCCAGCTAAGTCTCTCTCCTGACGTGGCCGCGGCAGGAAAATCCCAAAGCCGTCGACGTAAAGCGTGGATGAGAAGTCCACAACCTGGGCACGCTCCCACGTCACTCCGAAGGGCCCCAGTGCCATGTCCACTTCCTGAGGGTAGATTTACGGGCCCTGGTGAACAGTTAAGAGTTAAAGGGAAGTTCTTACGGACTCGTCCTTACTGGTATTTATATTTATATTTGCGTCCTTCATTTTTTTTCCATAGCGATGCAGTCTGATTACATGTTTTAACACCCCTCCTATAGATCTGTTGTACATTAATAAGTAGTCTTTACACCTCTCCATCCCGCATGAATTTATTTTTTTTTACCTTTCACATATCATCTATTACTATATATAACTGTTGAAATATAAATATAGATTATCCATCTATTCTATACCATTTTATTTTCTATAATGAGAAGAGACGGCAAACTGAACCAGCTAGCGTACACCGAAGACCCTCAGGAGAACCTCGCCTCGGACCTTACCTTCCGCTGACACATCCCGATCATGCCAGTGAAGGAGCCGTTGGGAAGGCCCCGCCCCCACTCCCTGTCCTCGGGCATCACTAAGGTGTACCTAGCATGTGGAAGTTAAGGGAGACATTAGCGGTCGAGCAGCTGTGAATGGAGACCAAGAAACAGTGTTAAAAGTATATAAGGTTGATGGTAGAGGGAAGGACCAGAGAAAGAACTTTTCTGTGAAGTGAAAAGAAGGAAAGATGAAAAAAAAGACGATAGTAACTAATTACAGTTTTATGGATAATCTAGAATATATTCTTTAATCTAGATATTTCGTATCTGACTTATCTATTTTGAGAAGACAGTGTACCATCTAAAAAGACATCAGGATTCACACAAGTCTTTGAAAGATCCCTCCAAGTGCATATTCAGAAGATCTACTTCGCGTTATTCTTTTGTTCATCTATCTTATCTACTTATTTACCTACTGTATTGCTATCGAATTCCTTTCTTCTCCTAAACGAACTATTTTTTAATCTTCTTTCTCTATTTATCTATCATATCTATAGGTCTTTTCTTTCGTTCCTACGCAAAAGTCTCCAACCGAACACTCGCTCCTCACGAGAAGTTGAGCTTGGCGGCGATGATGTCGAAGAAGGCGGCAGCGACCCCGGAGGCGCCGAGGGACCCGTCCTCCCGCCGGCGCAGGTCGACCCATGGCACCCAGATGTCGGCGCCCACCCTCAGGTGCCTCCCGCTCAGTGCCATGGTGGTTGGCCTTATTCTCGGACGAGGGTCAGCTGGTTTGCTTTTGAGGGGAAAAACAATCAGAGGTAAAGGCAGAGAAAAAATGGTAGGTAGATAGATAGAGACAGGCAGACTGACAGTGAAGAATATGAGACAGAAAGAGGAGGGGGGGGGGGGGAGAAATGTCTATTTGGTT